TCTCCAACTTTTCACCATCTGTTTAGTGTTAATATGTTACTACTGTATGTAAAATATAGAAATCTTATAATCATCTTTACCATCTCGATTCTATACTTCGCCTTCTAATTATTACATATCTTACATCTACATACATTGAATCTCCTGGATAATGTCACCAAGATTGCTTTGTAAAGTCATACATTTTTAAAAGTACTCAAGAGAAGAAAAGTATCTGTTATATTTACCCAGATATTTATCTGTTCTGTTGCGCTTCCTTCATTCCTGATGTTCTGAGTTTTCCTCTGATATCATTTCCCCTTTGCCTGGAGAACATTCTTTCAGATTTCTTTTTGAGCAAGTCTGCTGGTGATGAATTCTTTCCGTTTTTGTTTTTTTTTTTCTTCTTCTGACTAGGTCTCTATTTTGCCTTCACTCTTAAGAAAAATATTTTTGCTGGATTTAGAATTCTGAGTTGACAGTTCCTTTGTTGTGAATTTTCAAGGATGCTATATTATTTCCTTGTCTTCTGACCACCATTGTTTCTGCTGAATGGTCTCCAGGCGTTACTCACCTTCAGGGAAGGCATCATTTTTCTCTGTCTGCTTTCAGTCTTTATCTGTGGCTTTCAATCCCTTGATTCTGATGTGTCTGGGTGTGGTTTTCTTGGAGTTTATCCTGTTTGGAGGTCTTAAAGCCTTTTGAACCTGTAAAATTTATGTCTTTTGACATATTTGGGGAAGTTTAGCCATTATTCTTTGAAAAAATTGTTTTGCTTGGATTCCAGTGGAAATAGCGAATGTTTGGCCACTCAAAATACATAAGTTCTGGAGATCTACTGTAAAACACAGGGCCTAAGCTTAGCAATACTGTATTGTATACTTTATTTTTTTGGTCATGCTACGTGGCATGTGGGATCTTAGTTCCCCATCCAGGGATTGAAACTGCATCCCCTGCGCTGGAAGCATAGAGTTAACCACTGGACTTCAAGGGAAGTCATTGTATACTTAAAAAAAAATTGTGAAGAGGGTAGATCTTATGTTAAAAGTTCTTAACACAAAAGGAAAAAAAAAACACCAGAAGCAGGAGGATTCTTTGCAAGGTGATGGGTAGGGTTACGGCATTGATAGGGATCTGATAGTGACAATGGTGTCCCAGGGCATGTTGTTAGCCCTAGACACAATTATCTATAATTTGTAATGTAAATTACAATTAAATCTATAATTTACTGTGTTAGCTATCTATAAAGTTTTATGTCAGTCATATTTTCCTAAAGTAGTTGAAAAAATTTTTTTCTGACCCTGTCTCTTCCTCTATTAGGAATTTCAATGACGTATTAGGTCTTACAATATTGCCTAAGAAGTCCCTGAGGCCCTCATTTTTAAAAATCCTGTCTTTCAGTTCTAAGATTAGATCATTTCCATCGATCTGTTTTCAAGTTTACAGACTCTGTCCTCTATCATCTTCGTTCTTCTCTTAGCCCTATTCAGTGAAATGTTTATATCTTCTACTTTGCTTCTCAGATCTAAAAGTTTTATTTCTTTTTAAATAAATGTTTTCTTTAATAAAATTTTACATTTACAGGAGGCTGTGAAGATAACAGAGAGTGTTTACAAATACCCCTTACCTAGTTTTCTGTCATTTTTGAGACTGCACCCAAGTACTGCATTTCAGATTCTTTTGTCGACTATAAAGGCTACTCTATTTCTTCTAAGGGACATGGTGAAGGACAGGAAAAACCTAGCATGCTGCAGTCCATGGGGTCGCAAAGAGTTGGACACAACTGACCAATTGAGCAACAACAATTTTCCCTAATGTTAACATCTTTCTTTGCCACCGTGGCATGTTTGTCAAAACTAAGATGCCAACGTGGGTACATTATTATGCTAAACTCCAGACTGTACTCAGATTTCACCAGTTTTTACATGAATGTCTTTTTTTTTTTTTTTTTTTGCCGGGGATGGGGGAGTGGATTTCCAAAATTCAATCCAAGATACAAAACCACATCACATTTAGTGATTCTTCGTTATAGTTTGTCTCTCTTTGCCAAAACTTCTGTTTTTTCCATTCATTTCAAGGCTGTCCGGCTTTGCCTCACAGAGGATAACTAGCACAGCCGCTTCTCAGACCTCGTCTGATAATCCCAGCAACTGGGTTGTCTCAGGGTTGTCATCTTTTGATGCTCTTTCCCTCGAGATTTGATCAATGCTCCTGGTTCTTGGCGTGCTGAGTAACGCGGGATTTTTATTCTGGACATCTTGTTTGTTTGTGTTATGTGAGAAGACTGGATCCTGTTAAAAACGCCCTGGAGAATGCAGGCTTCCTTCTTTTTTCCATTTCCCCCTCCCCTATCCTTTTTCTGGGCTTCCCTTGTGGCTCAGCTGGTAAAGAATCCGCCTGCAATGCAGGAGACCTTGAGCCGCAAGTTCTATCTCTTTCTGTGGGTGCGGGCTCCTGCCCATTCAGCCTGCCAAGCTCCAGTGGTGCTGTTTTCCAATGCCCACATGCATCCCACTTGGAGATCAGCATGGACTTGAGTGCTGGTGTCTCAGGCCTCAGCTCTCAGGACCTCCTGAAGCCCCTGGCCCTGGGACGGGGGCATGTGCACCTGTGCTCCCCCGGGCACCCAGTCCCTCCAGCCATGGGCCCTGCGGGACTCAGCTGCTGCCTCGGGGAACCTCTCCTGGACTCTGCAGTTCTCTCTCTGTGGGCACTTCTCTGCTTTCCAGGTGTCCACCCGGCAACCCTGGCCACCTCAGCCTACCTGAATCCTCAGCTCTGTCCCCCTGCTGCTCAGGGGGCCCCTTCTGGCTGGGGTCCTGCGGGATGTGATGCAGCCAGGGGTGAGGGGTGTTCTGGGCCATCAGCTGGGGCATCTGCACTGCTCAGAGCATTTACCCACCCCCTCACCCCCCACCGGGGATAGGCCTCTCATGCGCCTGTTTTCTAGTGTTGGAAAAGTTTTGCTTTTGACACATTTGTCTGCTTTTCTTACTTGCTTACGGCAGGAGGGTGAATCCAGTTCCCCTCATTCATGGTGGTTGGAAACACGTATCAGACCCACTCAGGGAGTCTGGTTTAAACATGGGCTTTTTGCTTCTTTCCAGGCAGAACACCCAGCCCTCCCTCCCCCCGCAGCCCCATCACCATGACCCCAAGCTCCTCTCATGCACCCCTGCCCACAAGACAGTGGCTTTCTGGTGGAATTCCCACCACCCCCAGGCTCAAGGGACTTCTCACTGTTTGTCATCCTCCAGTATTTTCAAATAGCTGTCTTTCCTCTTTGTTAAGAGTTTAGACTTGCCCACCATGGGTCTTTCATGACACCATTTGACCCTCTCAAGATGAATGTTAGACCCTATTCTGTTTTTCACCAATGGAGGGACTCAAGTGTGGCCCATTAGGACACTGGGGTCAGGTCACATGACCAGGAAATGGCAGGGCCGCTAAGCCTGTCCCACTCGTGCCATGCGCGGGACTGGAACAGGCGTCCATGACTGCAGAAGCAGTGAACAGCTCTTAGGACCGTAGGCTCTATGATGCTGGCTTTCACCGGCTGTCCTAAAACAGTGATCTCCACTGCAGTCTGGTTGACCCTAGCCAACCCTGGGTGTTGAAGTGGGTTCCCTCTGCACGTGGGAGGCAGGGGGCAGGTATCTGGTGATGTGCAGCAGAGGACTGTCCCAAAGGTGTCAATTCAACCTGCCTCTCGTCTGCATGAAACTCATCCACAGCTCCCCTTGGGCTTAGAATAAAAACTTGGCTCCCACCTGTGGCCCACAAGGCTGTGCTGCTCACACCCTGGCCCCATCCTCATCCCCATACCCCTCTCTCCTTTCCAGGCTCACTGGCCTCCGTCCTGCTCCTCTGGTTTGTCATGGCCTCGGCCACCCCAGGACCTTTGCACAGGCCGTTCCCTCTGCCTGAAATTGGTTTCCTCCGTTGTCTGCATCGTCTTATGCTCACTCATCCTTGCAATCTCAGTTCAGACAGCACTTCCTCTGGGCAAGCCTTCCCACCTGGCCCTCTCCTCAGACCCTTCTCAGAGCTGGACCATCCTCTCTACCATGACTCTCTTCTGTGGGCTGATTATTTATAGAACGTTTCCTTGCCAGAGCTGGGGAGGAAGCGGGGCTGCCTTGTCTTCCATCCACAGGAGGAAATGACGCCTTCCTTGGGGCCCAGCAGGCCTGTGGGACCATTCTTACCAGGTCCAACCCTAGGCGTGCTTGCTTGCTTGCTGACAACTCCCTCATGAGCCCCCTAGAGCCGAGGCTGGAGGGTCCTGCACTCCGAACCTTCTCCCCAAGGCTCCCAGGACAGCTGGCTAGAGGGAGGGATGCAGGGCGTCTGAGTTCTGTGCTGTCTCTTGCCATGGGCCCGGAGGATAACAGCTCCCACACGTGATGGGGTCCCTCTGCTGAGGACGTTCGCGTCTCGTGAAATGTGGCCAGGCCACCTCCTGTGGTCTAAATGCCAGGAAACCCTCATTTCAGAGCACCTGCTCTGCTTCTGCCTCCCCCGCCTTCAGACAAGGTGGAAACCAAGGCTCGGGGGCCAGCGAGGGGCCAAGGCAGGCAGCCCGGCCGCGTCCACTGTCTTTCTGCGTTGAGCACCTGCCTGGTGTCTTCCCAGCAGCCTCTGGGCGGAGGGAGCAGGAGGACACCTGCCGGCCTCCTGGTGCTTCAGTGATGCTCAGCCGCGCAGAGCCACCGTGCCCACCCAGGTGCAAGTCCAGGGCTGGGTGAGGCCCGGATGGAAGATGGATGCGCAGAGGGCAGGGGGTGGGTGCTGCCTGATGAGGACCCTGGTCTCCACGACGGCAAGGCCCTTTGTCGCCCTCTCCTCTGGCTTCAGGGTCTGAGATGAACACGGTGGTCACTCAATGCATCTTAGTGGCAGGAGAGGGGTCACTTAGCGCATCTTAATGGGGAGCGCGGGCAGCTGGGCCAGAGGGAAGCTGCCCCATGTGCCCACCAGTTTATTTCTCAGCCTCCTCTCTCCTTTCCCTCCACCCTCAGGAATGTGTCTCTGGTCAAGAATGTGGAAGCATCCGGCAAACACATGGTGTGTTACAGAGACGCGGAGATACGGGACCAACTGGTATACACACTCAGCCTCGTCCGGAAAGAGCCTGTGTAGGTGTCCCCTCCGGGCATACACACACACACGTGTGCGCACACACACACTAGCTTCTGCACCCCTGGGTGGGAACAAGATAATTTGCCCTGCACGAGGCAAGTTGCTTACAAAATGCTCGTCTATTAGTCACTAATGACATCTCCATGGATGGTACAAGGAAGCAGAGTGTTTGGGGGTTGGCCTGGAGGCCTCTTCTGGCCTCATGCAGCCCAGCCCCCTCCCACAGGCTGGCTCTGGCTTGTCAGTTGGGAAAAGACTGAGCTTCTCAGGGGTGCACACAGGTGGCGCTTAATAAATACTTTTGGGAGAGGAAGCTGGCTTCCTACGGTCCCCGCACTGGACCAACTTTGTGGACGCCACAGAAACTCACCCAACCCGTTAGTAAAGCGGGGGAGTCAGGCATGATAAGAAGTCCAAGGTCATAGAGTTGGGGGAACTAAGTGGACTTGGGGGAGGGGGAGGAGGAGGTGTCTGAGCCACGGAGTTTCCCACGCAGCCACTAGGAAGACCCGCTTTCAGACAGCGGCCCCCCCACCATGTTTGAATTGCACTAAAGGTCGGTGAATGTAAACCAGAACTCTGAGTTTTTTTGACTTTGTTTTCCTGCCTGAAGAATGCTCCCTGGCCTTATTCCCAAAGCCCTGAGGACCACAGAGGGGACTGAAGTGAAAATGGCCCACCAGTTAGAAGTTGGTAAGGACCCACCCCCACCTTGCATCCCTGCCCCCAGATGGTGCTGCCAGGGAAGGCGGGGGAGGGCAGCTCCCCCCCCCCAATCCTGAGCCCTGCAGGTGGGCCTAAGCAGGGCCCCTGTGAGCCTGCCTGGCTGGGGTGCAGGGCTGAGCCAGCCACTGGCAGGTGACACTGTCTCCAATGTGCGTGGGACCTGGTACTTTTCCAAGCGCTTTTAAATGCATTATCTCGCTGGAGGCTCATTTGAGGCGAGGCCTCGAAGCCGACTGGAAAACAGCTAATTTACTGAATCCTGAATGGAGAGGAAGCAGAAGGCAGCGTGTGTTTTTGCTGAATCTCAAACCAAAACAACCTTTTGTTAAAGAACAAACAAATAAACAAAACCGTTGAAATCAATTCACCCGGGAACAGTACGAACAGGGGTTCTGGGCAGAGCATCTCAGCAGCAAATTCCAACTCAACCAGTGTGGACTGGAGGAGGGGCAGTTGGGGTGACGAATGTGCTCATGGGGTGGGGGGAAGTTGGGGAGGGCAGAGCCCCTTGAGGGAGGGGCATCAGTGTGCACCAGGGGACCAGGCTGACCCTCACAGGGAGACCTTGAACACTGGCTCCTCGGGAGGTGCTGCTGGGGAGGGGGCCTCCAGATGGGGGCCCCTGAATAAGGCAGTAAGAAGGAATGCATTAGGGGCAAGGGGCCAGGCTGCGTCTAAGCAGAGGTTGCTTTGCCTGCAGGGAGGGCGGGGGAGTGTCAGAGGTTTTGCTCAATCAGCATCCATCCCAGCTCCTTGGAGGCAAGTCCCCTGACGTGGTCGTCATGGGTGACATGGGGTCTTCCCAGGCTGCAGGCGACCCCAGGGCCTGACGCTGCCTCTCCTACACAGCCCACCCCCACAGGCCACGGGACGTGGACCGCCTGGCCTTCTTCCGCAACGCCACCATCCAGCTGCAGCAGCTGAGGCCGGTGGAGGCCCCCGTGGCCAGCCCAGCAGCTGAGTGGTGGATGGTCCAGGAGTGGCGGCCAGGCTGTGAGCAGAGCCGGGGCTGCAGTCAGGACCTGGAGCTCGTCATCTTTAATGACAAAGTCAGCCCCCAGAGCCTGGGCTTCCTAGCAGGATATGGGTAAGGCTCCTCCGGCCCCAAGAACCTGCCTTGTGGCCCGGAGGCTTCAGAACTTTCTGCCCCTTCTCACCCCTGCTCACCAGAACTGCCTGGGACAGGAGGCACAAGTCCCCGTTCCCTTGGCCCCAGAAATACACCAGGATGGTGACTTACTGTCATACAAGCTGCTAGCAGAAATGGGCATTCCCACTGTCCCACCCCTCCTTCCTGTCTGTAGGGTCATGTGTCATCTGGCCCTCCAACCCCAGGTCGGGGCTGGAACCCCAGCCCCACCCACAAGAGGTCGTGGGGGCTGCAAGTGGTCAGCACTCACACTTCTATCCCACCGGGCTGAGTAGGGGCTGTGCCCTCCTCTCCTGGGACAGCAGTGCTGACGCCCCCTCATCCCCCCAGCATTGTCGGGCTCTATGTGTCGGTGGTGATGGTTGCAGCCAAGTTCATCCGAGACCACTTCCTCGGCATTGCCCGCTCCATCATGCATGACCAGCTACCTGATGTGGACCGCGTGCTAGGGCTCTGCACAGACATCTTCCTGGTCCGTGAGCTGGGTGAGCTGCAGCTGGAGCAGGAGCTGTTCGCCAGACTCACCTTCCTATACCGCTCGCCTGAGACCATGATCAAGTGGACGCGCCAGCGCCCACCCACTCCCTGCCTGCCCCCCACCAACCCTGTTGCTGCGGCTCCCGTGGAGCGGCTGGAAGCAGCCGTCGTGTCCTCAAGCCCTTTGGCCTCAGAGAAGTAGGGTCTTTGCCGTAGCCTTGCGTCCCCCCAGTGCCAGGCCCTTGGCCTGCAGCTGCTGCCCAGCTGGGTCGCCGGGCCTGAGGCCCCCTTTGTGCCCGCACAAGGAACACTCAGTCCCCCGGCTCCCTGTAGCCCCTGCAGCGGGTGTGGACAGTGCCAGCTGCCAGGAGAAGGAGCTGGGCCACCTCAGTGACCTCTGGCTCCTTCAGGGCTTCTCAGGGAGAAGCTGGATTGAGCTGCCAACACCAAGGCCATTAAGCACGCTAATGACCCATGAAGGCTCCTGGCCCCTCCGGCCCCCGTGCCTCCCTGAGCCCACTGACCGCCTCGTGACCATGATTACTGCAATTTAACACGTCGGGCCAGGGCTTTCCCAGACAGGGTGGGGGCCCTGGGACTGCCGCTTGCCTCTTCCAGGCCCAGCCTGGGGCTGTGCACACAGCAGGCAGTTAATAAATACATGCTTGGGACCATGCCCAGAAAAAGTCACCTTGATTTCAGGGCAGGGGAAGGGACTTGAAGTTTAGGGAGCCTTGGGCAGGGGTGCAAGGTCAAGGAGCCCAGACACAGCCAGGAGACGTGTGGCCTGCAGCCATGTTCTCGTCCTCCCGTCGCATGCAGAGGAGGTGCCGGCTCCATGCCAGGCAGAGCCAGAGTCCCGGATCTCCTCTGCGGGCCCCAGGCTGGGCCAGGCTGTGCCCTTCAGCTCCTAGGATCTTGCCCAGGGGGCTTTCGGTTGACCCCATGTAACACTTGTCTTGTGCCGTGCTCAGGGGTCATTAACACCTTCCCTGCAGACTGCGGGTCGTGGGAAAGTCCGAGATGCCCGCCCTCCAGAGCCTGCACGCTGAACCTCAGAGCCCAGCTGGCCCCGAGGGCCCCGGGCTCTCATCTGCAGGAATGAGTTTGCCAAATTCACCTCAAAGGCAGGTGCTGGTTTGGGAGGAGAGGGTGGCACCCGGAGCCTCAGACCCATGGGCAGGTTGTTGGGCTGCTTTCTAAAGTGGGCCGGAGAAAGGAGACAGAGGCAGAGGTGTGATGTGGTTTAGTCATGTTTAATTCAACCTGCAGTGAACTCAAAGGGGCCCGAGTAGACATTCCTCTTGCTCCTTAAAACCTGAACCAAGTCGCCCCATCCTTTCAAAGGGGTGATCTGTTGGAGGCAGGGGCTGACCCAGCTGGAGTGGGGCCTGGGTGCTCTGCAATGTGGGTGCCATGTGCGGGGCCTGGGGCTGCAGACGGGGCCACTGGCACCCACCGTGGGCCCCAGGCAGGGGCGGGAGTCTTGAGGGCCACGCGGCCAAGAGCATCAGGGCCGCGCATGCATCCTGGGGTCCTGGGGTCGTGCAGAGGCCCCAGGGAGGGGCATGGTCTGCAGAAGCTGGCAGGAAATCAAATATAAAACAAGCCCAGTGCTGCCCACTCACCCCTCCCTGGGCCCCCCGAACCCTGAGCTGTCTCCTAAGACACAAGAAGGAGCTGTTTCCGTCACCATGACAACTAAAAACAAAACAAACCGCAGCTCATCTTAAGGTATAATCTTCCAATTGCTTAGAATTAATCAGTGCAAAGTGAGGTAAAGCGCCCAGTGTCACCGGGCAGGGCGGCTGCGTCACACGAGCCTGCGCCTCTTGGAGTCCCTCTCCGCGTCCCCCTCCTGAGCGTCCGCCTCGCAGCCAAGTGGGGACACCAGGTTCAGTAGAGGGTCCTCGGAGGCCTGGCCGAAGAGCGCCAGCAGGAGGGCCACACCGAAGCCTGTGGCGCGCTCGCCCTGTGGGTGAAGACAGCGGAAAGCTGTGCGGCAAAGCCCCCCAACCCCAGCAAACCCGCCACCGTGGGAGGGCTCTCGGGCCAGGGCGTCTGACCCCCCGTGTGCCCCCCAGCCCCCTTCCCTGTCCTGTTCTACTTAGAGCGGTGGAGGATGAGCTGGTGGACACAGCCCTGGTTCTCCTCCAACCACCCCCCCACCGGCTCCTCCCGCCTGGCTCCTCGGGAGGGAAAGGGTGAGACCGGGGCCCCTGGGCCTCCTGCCGAGGACAGGCGGGTTGGGAAGGACTGCACACAGCAGTCACACTGTTCCCAGGGACGAGGAGACCAGAGGTCAGGGGGGACCACAGCTGGCCGTGTGACCCTCACACAGAATGTTTCCGATGAGCTCAGCCTGTGCTCTGGAGCCAGAGAGGGGCTCTGGATGCAGGAGAGAGTGGGAGCAGCCAGACCCGCGGGGGGGGCCGGCAAGGGAAGCAGAGTGGCTGGCCAGCCAAGGAAGGCCTAACGGTGGGGGGGGCAGGGGCACCCCCGTGCCCTGGACTCACAGCGTGCACAGGCGCAGCGATATCCAGGTGGACCCAGACCCCAGGCCAGTCGAAGCCGATGTGTGAGGCGATGAAGAGGCCAGCGCAGGAGCTGGGGCTGTTGTCCCTGTCCTGGAGTAGAAGGCAGTCGTGACCTTCCACCCAGCCATGGCGGGGGTGGCCACGGTGGACACCCTGTGCCCTCCTGACCCCCATCCTCAGTGACCACCTCTCCCGATGTCTGCAAGAAGGGGCCTGGGGTGGAGGGCCCAGCGTGGAGAGCAGCAGAGAGGGTCCCCGAGGGCCTGGCAGCTGGGCTAGGGGGTCTGCTTTCACCCTGGGGGCAAAGGGGAAGCCAGGGATACACCTGATGGGGGACTTCAGAGTGGGGCGGATGCCCCAGTGCCTGGTGAATGGATATGCTGCAGGGAGACCAGTGAGAGGGCCATCCCCTCCCCTGATTTCTTCCCTCCCCTGCTCAGAGCCCAGATCTGGGGCCTCACAGGGGGACCTAGGTCCACCCTGCTCCACACCTACCGCCACTGAGTTCTTCATGTCGGCCACAGCCGAGGTGAACTCGCTGAAGTGCAGCTCTGGGCAGTAGACCAGCGGGTGCACCAGGTCCCCGCATTGCCGCCCGGCCTTCACGCAGGCCGCCTCCCACTCGGCGCTGTTGGTGAGCACAGCCGCATGGTACTTGCCTGTGGCAATGCCCTGGGGATGCAGGAGAGATGTAGAGAGCATCACGTGGTGGGTTGGGGGACACCGAGGACAGAAGAGAGGCCGATAGAAAGCAGGTCAGAGAGAGAGGCCGAGAAAGAGGGCCTGAGCACCGCCCCGTGGGGGCCCTGTGCTAACATTCCCTCCAGAGTCCATGGGCCCTGCGTGCCTGCACCCTCACAGACAAGCTCTGACCTGGTGACGAAGCAGAAGGGACAGTGGGGCCCACCTGAGCTCCGGTTAGCGTGGCCATGTCCAGGATGATGTCGGCGCCCAGGTCCTTGCAGGCGTAGGACACACCATCTGCCAGCACCAGCCTGCCCTCGGCATCTGTGTTGTTGATTTCCACAGTCCTGGGGATGGCAGACACCCCACTTAGAGCCCCTCCTCCCTGTCCTCAGCTGCAGTGCAGTGCCTAAAGGCTGGGAAGGGCTTGGCTCCCTGAGCAGGGGGTGGGTCCCCAGACCCTGTGAGCCCCCGAAACCTCGAAGAGGGACCCAGCCCCCATCGCAGGCACCCGGGGCTCCGGGACAGCACGATGGGGTGGGTGCTGTGAGGCGGGCAGGTGGGGTTGGCCTTACTTTCCAGAGTACAGCAGGTGGATGTCGTCTGGCCTTGTGGCGTTGGGCCCCACGGAGTTCTCGGCCAAGCAGAACACCGCATGGAGGGTGTCTTTGAAACCCTGGAGGCAGCAGACGAACGGATAAGAAAGCTGTGGTACATATACACAATGGAATATTACTCATCTATTAAAAAGAATGCATTTGAATCAGTTCTAATGAGGTGGATGAAACTGGAGCCTATTATATAGAGCAAAGTAAGTCAGAAAGAAAAACATAAATACAGTAATATTAACGCATATATATGGAATTTAGAAAGATGGTAACGATGCAAGATAGCAAAAGAGACATAGATGTAAAGAACAGACTTTTGGACTCTGTGGGAGAAGGCAAGGGTGGGATGATTTGAGAGAATAGCATTGAAACATGTATACTATTATATGTGAAATGGATCACCAGTCCAGGTTCAATGCCTGAGACAGGGTGCTCAGGATGACCCTGAGGGTTGGGATGGGGAGGGAGGTGGGAGGGAGGGTCAGGATGCGGAACACATGTACACCCATGGCTGATTCATATCAATATATGGCAAAACCCACCACAATATTGTAAAGTAATTAGACTCCAATTAAAATAAATGAATTAAAAAAAAAAACCCTGGAAGGACCAGGGCAGAGGCTCCAGTTATAGGCTGGAGCATCAGAGGCAGGAAGGATGGTGACTGGCTGGAGCTCTCTGACCCACAACAGACAGACAGACGGGTCCAAGGAGCAGGTATCACAGCCCCCTGCACTCCCCACCATCCTGGTGGCGGGCCCTAGGGCAGGGTCCCAACAGAGACCAGGCGATGCAGCATGCACCCGAGAAGCAGAGCTGCCTGCTGGGTTCGAGTCCGGGCCGGCAGCTCCCCAAGGGCCGTGCTCAGCTCCCGCCTCCTATCCATACAATGTGGTCAGCGGTCACAGTCCCTAACCGTACAAACCTGCTGATCTTTAAGCTTTTGAGGTTGGGCTTTTGACTTTGATGACCTTGACCCTTTGCTGTCGCCCTGTACCTACACTGAGGTTGAGTGCACTAAATCCATGGAGGCACAGTGACCCCCCACCGCTCAGGGTCCCTCAGGGCAGCCACAGAAACAGCTGTGTGGGTGCACTCCTCACTCCCATGCCCACCACACTCAACTCTGACGTTACCATCTGTTGATCATGCTCACCTAAGACAATTACTATGCTGTTGTTTGCCAAAAGGTGGTTTCCCACCTCTCTGCCTTGTATTGTTAGCAACAGCACGAGGAGGCCTGCCTCTGGGAGGCCACTGTGAGGAGATGACCTGTTCCTATTGGTATGAGTGTGGACTCTCATTTCATTCTGTGAGTGACGACCCTTATCATGTACTTTAGGGCTCAAACTGAGGCACATTCCTTTTCTTAAAAAATGAGCTACAAGCAGGAGAAATCCGAGGACCACTTCCAACCACCAGTTGATGAACCAGACTTAATTGCCAAGTGGTTCCTTGCCCATAGGAAGGGCCCACCTGCTGGGACACCGCCCAGCCGCCTGTCCAGATGCCAGGACGGACCCTACATGGGTGCAGTCACCCCAAACTCGTAGCTGAGACATCATGCAGTGCAGCCCCGTGGGCCCCCCCTCTGGACACTTCCCCACAAGCCCTTCCCAGAGCGCCCCCAGGCCCCTGAGGCCAGGTGAGTCCTTTGCATACTTTATGAGTTCATTAACGGAGGAGGTCGAGGGCCTGGCTGAATCTGGGCAGGTGGGCTGGGTGCTGCTGAACGAAGGCTGCATGATGCCTCCCAGCACAGTTGAGACACCCCCCCCACCAGCACCCCTTAGGCCGAGCCCCTCCACCCCTCCAGCCTTTCTGCTCCCCTCTTGGGCGTGGCTGGGCAGAAATCATTTGCCAAGATCCTTTTGCTTTTCTTTTCTCGGGAAGTCTCCCCCTGGGGGCATGCTGCTCAGGTGGTGCCTGTGAGGAAGAGGGGCTTATGTTTGGTGACCGGAAGGGCTGGGCTTTTCAGAGGTGCCTGAAGCAGCTGTGCCGAGAGGTGAGCGGACCTAGACGGCCAGGGCGCCCAGCGCCTCTGCTGCATAAACATGCTCTGTGGTGTCAAAGGGCAAACGTGGGCAACAGCCACCACACTGTTATCGACCAGGCCCCCAGTTCGGGAATTTGGTTCCCATTGTTGGGCTCTCTGAGGCCTGTGTGTCCTGGGTGGGGAGCGCGGGGGCCTCTGGTTGCCCTGGTGTTTGGGCTCCGTGTGGCCGCTCCCGGTATTCCAGGACAGACCCCAGACCTCTTCCACCAAAAAGTAGCCAGCCCCTCCCCAGAACCCCACCCTGAGCGTCAGAGTCCAGGGGTGAGGCAGGCAGCCTGCTGCACAGCGCCCTTCCCATTTTGGTCGGGACGGGCGAGGCTCTTAGGACTTAGCGGGGGGCCCATGATGCCAGCGGGCATCAGGCAGAGGTGACATGCCCGGGTGGGGTGACGCTCTTGGCGGGAGGAGCCCTGACTGAAGCAAGGAGCCCTGGGGGCCCCAGGGACCCGGCGCAGGAGTGTGGAGGGGGATAGTGCTAGCCACGCAGACTCGGGGGGCTCTGGGGAGGAGGACCAGGGAGGAAGACAGGGCCCCCCTCACCTGCTTGACGGCGGCTCTGAAGGCCCCCAGGACAGCTGCAGCGCCCCCACAGTCCCTCTTCATCCCCGGCATGGTGGTCTGTGGGGGCAGGAAGGGGCGAGAGAGAGGTGAGTGGATGCTGACCCCACAGCAACAGTGCTCCCCACCCCGCTCCCCACACCGGGGCCCCAGAGGCACAGGAGCTGGTGCCAAGTCAGCTGAGTGCCTACAGAACCCAGAAAATGCCACTAGTCACCTGGAGATTCTCCAGAAGCAATGAGAAGCCAGGGTCAAATGTGCTGGCTTGGTGGGGGGGGGCACGTCCAGCTTGAGCAGAGCTTTGGGGGTTACTGAACAGAACTGTGAGATTCAGTGGGGGCTTCCAGAGCGGCCTGGCTCAGAGGCGGAGCTGTGCCCAAGTCAGCCTGGGGGTCTGTCTGCAGCTCCTCCATGTCACGACCTTGACCACCCATCTAGGTTAATGTGAGCTCCTCCTAAATGTCACTGGTCACTGTGACCCCATCAATCCCACTCCTGCCCTGAGGGCGCCTGACACCTGCCCGCATTCGCGTTTCCTGGGTGACGGGGTCTAGGGAGGGAGGCGCTGGAGACTGAAGTGTCCTCCTGCCACAGAAGTAAACACCATTTCCGATATACTAGTTGAGGGCAGCTAGGTACTTTTACGGTTTATAGGCTCTTGATGCTAATTGACAGGCTCATATTTTAAATTAACAACAGGTCATCGGATGTAAGGATTTGGGACCGAAATGTACCGATTTTTCTGAGCCCTTATTGGATTACACGAGCCGAGAGTTTTAATGGAAAGTATTTTTAGATATAAACTGAGCTGTTTTTACAATTAAGTGGAGCAAAAATGACTCAGCTAGCACTATTGGAAATAAGCTGTTTTGACCTAACCTGCGAGAAACCACGGGATTGTTTAAACGGAATAACGGGGCCTCAAACCGAGAATCAACCCCCCTGCTGAAAGGTCACATGGAAGATGGCTGGAGATGGCCACTGAATCCCCGTGTCCCTGGACACAGACAGAACAAATGTCCCACCACAAATGCAGCTCCATAGACTGAGTCAGCCTCATGGACCCCACCTGGCATTCCTGTTTTTATCAAAGAAACTATTTCCACAGGAGCACCTTTGTCACTGTTGGGTTCCTGTTTATACCGATGGGGCAGTGGTGACCTGGGGCCTGTGGGAACTGGTGGCCACTGGACTCATTTCCAGGCCTTTAGGAACCAAGGTGCTGCCAATTTCACTCGAGTCTCCTTGCAGTAAAGCAGTGAAATGATTAGCTTTTTGGAAACCTCAACCGTAGAGAAGAGTCATTCCCAGCACTGTCTTGATGGCATGGAAGGGGTGGGGGAGGTCCTGCACTTGCTCCCTGATGCCCGGCGCTCGGCTGTGCTCAGTCAGCTGGAGCCCAGGCAAGAGTGGGTGCCAAGTCCTGAGCTCAACGAGCCTCTGCTCTCCCAACAACACTGTCCTGGAGTTGGGGTGGGGGGAACTACTGACAGATTCCGGGGGTCCAGATGCAGGTATATGCGGACATTGTCTCGAAAATGGCCAGAGTGAGCCTCTCACCTCCAGGAGGACAGCTGGCCTCACCTGGTAAAACTGGAGCTTTCAAGCAAAAAAAAAAAATCAGGATTTTGAAAAACTTGTATCTGCTTCCATGATGGTTTCCTAATACTCAACTTTCTACACGAGATAGATGCTGATATTAATGAATGTGACTTTTTAAAATAGTGTATGCTGGAAAGATGTCAAAATCTGGAGGTTCGGCATAACTCTGTGAACAGTATTTTCCAAATGGCACATATGTGATATCATAAAACCGTGCATTCAGACTTCAGGATGGACCCACAGATTTCAATGCAGCAGAGCTCACAGGCGTGGCTTTAAATCCCCCATCATAACCAACCTTTCAGAAACTCCCACTTGTCGAGTTTTGGTGTAACAGCAAAGAAGAAGGCCCTCAGTTACCTGAAGAAGGTATTAAAATGCTTCTCCTTTTTCTAACTGCTGAAGGACTGGGACCAGATTTTCTTTTTTATATTTCAACTAAAACGTATTGCAACAGACTAAACGCAGAAGCAGATATGTGATCACAGCTGTCTTCCACTAAGGCAGACAGTAAAGAGAGCTGCAGAAATGTAAAATGGTGCCACTCTTCTGGTTAATTTCTTCTTTTCATTTTGGAAAATACAGTTCTATTCATAAGACTGCATTATTTACAGTGGCATGCAATGGGGTCATATTGGTCTTTTTAATGAATTAATAACTATCTTTAAATTTTCCCAGTTTCAATTTCTAGTAGACAGCTAGCAGACATCGCCCTCATAAATAAAATCTCTTTCAAGATCAGTATTTTTCAGAGTGGAAGAAGTTCTGAGATGAACATATCTGAGGCCCCTTAATTCACACTGATCCTGATTTGCCTTGAAATCTTTGAAAATAGCCAGGACTATTCCTGCAAAATTGGGAGAGGGTGCCACCAGCAAAATGACTAACCCTCTGGAAGCCTTGCTTCTCACTCCACCCTCCAACAAGCCAATGTCCGAATGAGCCCACAAATCCATCCCCCCAAAATGCAACTGCTAAAGGGGCAAGAGCCCCTATCAAGGATGTGGGGTGAGGGTCAACACCAGGTGTTAAGAATTTAAGAACAATAATAAACCAGACTAAAAGCTGAGTTGGATCAGAAAGAATGCTGATCACCGAAGAACTGATGCTTTCAAATTGTGGGGCTGGAGAAAACTCTTGGGTGTCCACTGGACTACAAGGAGATTTAAGCAGTCAATCCTGAAGGAAACCAACCCTGAATATTCATTGGAAGGACTAATGCTAATGCTCCAATACTTTGGCCACTTGATGCGAAGAGCCGGCTCATTGGAAAAGACTCTGATGCTAGGAAAGATTGAATGTAGTAGGAGAAGGGGACGACAGAGGATGAGGTGGTTGGAAGGCATCACCAACTCAATGGATATGAATATGAGCAAACTCCAGGAGATAGTGGAGGACGGAGGTGCCTGGCGTGCTGTAGTCCCTGGGGTCACAAAGAGTTGGACACGACTTAGCAGCTGAACAACAACAAAAGCTTGTTTGTTGTCATCAGTGGTAAAAGTATTCCTCCAGAAGAAACCCTGTTGTTGGTCGAAGTGAGTCCTTACCATATAAATAAAAGCTTCAGACCTGCCTGTCTTAACTCTTCCTCCTTCCAGAAACATTATCCTATATGGACACTAACCACCGCCAGGGGCACAGACTCCTCAAAGCACTCTGGTTCTGAGTCAGGCAGGCTCTGCGATGGCTGGTGTCCACGGCACCTCTGACAGTGAGTTCCTGCCTTCGGATGGTGGATTCGGCGTAAACCCCAGGAGCAGTGAGCCATGCTGCTGCCCAGTCTAGGGGAACCACCGGGGTTGTGCTGTACAAGACATTTTTACTCCACGGATGTTTGAAAGCTGCTGGAGTCCATCTCAAAGAACCGGAAACATGGACATAGATGATTTGGGGATTTTCTTGGCAAGTGGGGTCTTTTTTGGTCTCTGGCGAGGGACCCTTCTGTTAACAGCCTTTCCCTGAGTATTCGTGTATCAGTTGCTTCATGTGACAGAAAGTCTTCAAAATTAAAGTTAATTGTGCCCTTTTGGATCAACTATGAGTGCAGAGACTGACAAACCTGGCACCTCCATCTAGCGAACATAAACATGTGAAGAAGAGCAATGTGATACAGTCACTGACAAATCGGCAAAAGTGAAGGCTGGATGGCAGGGTGGTGACCCTGGCGTACGTCACCACGAGAGAACGACATGGAGGCGTCAGCTTTTTCTGTCAGAAATTACTTAATGCTATTTACAAGTGTTAACCGATGACTGTTTTCTTTATCTGTACTATAATACTCATAATATTTTACTGCAGATGGTCACAAAGACAGTGGGCATCACCCTAGGACCTTTTCTTCTTCTTCTGTAGATTTTCTGTGTCCTGACTCATTGCAGGCACGAACTGTCTGCCCCTTGGAGGGGACGGGGCCCCAGGGCCTCCCTCCTGGATGCCCCAACAACTTGCTCTTTCCTCTGACACCTGAGAAGGGGCCGCCCTTCCCCCACCACGTCATCCCAGCCCTGGTCCTGCACCTCACCTTCCCCTTCATGCTGAGACCCCCGGTATCGTAGACGATGCCCTTGCCCACCCAAGCGATGGTCTGGGTGGCTCCATCTGGGGTGTGGCTGAGGACGGCCAGGGCCGGGGGATGGATGGCAGCTTTGCCAACACCGTAGATTCCTAGGGAAAGCACAGGACTCGTCAGTGAGGCTCAGGCCAGGCCGAGTGGAGGACTCCTGGGAGTCCCCCAGAAACATTGCTCTCCCCACAAATAGCTGCTGGCCTGTGGGTGTTCCTTTGGGCCACAGAGCCTGGCCATGTGAACCAAGTTCCCCGCCCTCTTCTGCTCCTGGTCACTGTGGAATTGGGGGATGCAATTGAGTTCTATGTGAAGTAGTGTTAGGCAAGAAGACTCGCTCAGGAAAAAAAAAAATATTGTATCATTCCCAGAAAGCAGCGAACAGGACTGCAAAATGAAGGGATTTTGGACAATGCTTCAAGGCTGTTCCAGCCCTGCTCACCCTCCCATCACTGACCCCTCCATGCACTCAACGGGCACCTCCCTTTCCCAGCTCACTCCTGCTGCTGCCTTACTGTCAGTTTATACACCCCAGCTTTTTGAGAAAACCCTGGCTTGCTGTGGGCAGAGCCCACGCCTCAAGGTCCCCCTGATAATCTAACCAAACAATCTTAGCAACCAGGACAAGAGCCAGTAATGGTGGCCTGACAAACTCCTAGTCATCCTGCAAGACCTGCTGCAAATGTCACCTCCTCTGTGATGCGTTCCCTGACAGGACTGCCTCCAGCTGCAGCTGGCTTACATGACTGTGATAGGCAGCTCGAACAAGCCCCCACAGATCCCCTCTGGGCATTCATGGTCTTGTGGATCCTCTCCCCTCCCCCATGAGGCAGGACTGCATGTCTCAGCTTCTCGGGATGTGGCAGGAATTGTCCAAGAGAAGGTCACAGAAACAGAACTGGCTTCTGTGTTGTGTGCTTTCTTCTCTCTTGCTCAGAGACCTCTCTGAGAGAAGCTGCTGCCACGTTGCAAGCTGTTCAAGGACAGGCCCACGACAAGGAACAGCCAGCTAGGCCCCTGATGGCAGGGCCATCAGTGAGCCTTGCTGGGAGCCTCTCTTGGGCCCCGGTTGAGGCTTCAAATGACTGCAGCCTCAGTTAACACAGGTATCATGGCCTGGAGAGACCCTGGGCCAGACCCAGCTAAGCCACGCCCAGTTCCCCACCCACAGACCTGCACGGGAAGGATGGTGTTGCTTTCAGCTGCTGCCTTCTGGGGTAACTGGTTTTGCAGCCACAGATAACAACCACAGTGACCTTCCCAACCCTGTTCCAGTGTCATTGCACCTTGGTGCCTGGGAGGTGGGAAGGATGTGCCTGGCAGTCAGGGAGGGCTCTCTGAAGAAGTGGTCTGTGAGATCATATTGGGGGAGAGTATCACAGGGAGAAAGAGCCAAGAGAGCATGTCTTGATGGGGATATGAGCTTGCGTATTCGAGGAACAGAAAGGCCCTGCTGGGCTGGCCTGGGGAGCAGGAGAGCAGTGCGGGGGAGGCTGCAGAGAGGGCGGACGGGGAAGGACTTGGACCCTGCGGCTTCCAGGATCTGAATCAGGATCTGAATCGCTGCCTCCTCTTTCCCCCGGGGATGGGCTGCTTCCCAGGATCTGGCCTGGGGGCTGGACACAGGCGGGTTTCCTGTGGGGTGAAGCTTGGGACAGCACGACATGTGGCCTGGCAACCCCCCAACCCCCCAGGTACCCCAGGCCTCTGCTGAGGCCAGGACCCAGGAGGACTGGCCCCCACCCACCTCCAAATCCTCTCGCCTTCAGCTCCTCATCCCGGATAACGGTTGGGACGATCCCCAGTTCTTTTCCAACTTTCTTAATCTCCTGGATGCATTCATGGAAAAAACAACAACACACAACACGTGAAGATGGCTTAAAATGAGGGTGAGGCCAGGGATGGGGTGAGCAGATGCCTTGCGGTGGGAGAGGGGTGGGCCGGGAAGCTGAGGCCCTGACTCTCGGCTCTAAGCATGATTAAACCCAGGAGAGGAGGTTTAATCACCTCCAAACTCTGCGATTTCCTGTGGCTCATGGCTAGAGTCCTGCATGGGGCCTCAAAGAGGAGGTTGTGTCCTCCCTCCACCCCCGGCTGAGGCCCAGGGGCCCCTCGGCTCCGGGTGGATGGCAAGACTCTGCAGCGGCCCGTGGCTTCCCCAGACGAGGTGCAGAGACTGTGGACCATCCCCTGGCAGCCCTGGGATTCCTGACTGTCCCTGGGGTCGATCAACACCATCCCACCCCCAGCTGGACCCCAGGGCCGCGAACCTCAAGGAAGGTGTCTGTGTTCATCTCATTGCAGGGTGTGTCCACAATTCGGGCTGCTAGCCGCACGCCTTCCGTGGCACTCGTTAAACACTAGGAGAAAGAAAAGGCTGTCACTCGGGCCCTGGGACAGGTGGACAGTGTCCCTCATTGCCAACAGCCAGGACCCACAAGTGTCAGAGGCACACATCTCCCGGGGGAGGCCGGGCAACGAGGGCAGGTGGAAGGGAAGCGAGAGTTGTACCCATGACCTCAGCCGTCTACAGAAAGACACCTATGGCTGCAGAGCCACAGAGGAGCCCTTTGGCCTAGCATCCTCTCCTGGTCTGCATGGGGCCCTTCTTGCTTTCTGAGCCTCGTCTCCTGTTCTGCCCCTTACTCTGGTGGCAGGTGATCTCCTGCCTGGCCCTGAGTGCACACCTCGTCCAGCCTCTGCCAACTGGATCCCCCCCGCCCAGGAGGAGGTGATACCCTCTGTTATGGGAGTCTGAAGCCCTGACCACCAGAGGAGGGTATCAGTAGGGTTTGGGAAGGTGCTCAGGCTTCAGTGAGGTTAGGAGGGTGGGACCCCATGATGGGATTAGCGCCCTTGTAAGAAGAGGACACAGCTTGTGGAAGCCACCCTGATCTGGGATGGCTAGGCTCCAGAATGGCCAGCCTCTGGGAGTTTGAGAAACAAGCATCTAAACCCCTGTTGAGGGGCTGGTGTCATGGTTACCCAGGCAAACCAAACACCCCTGCTTCTCTAACCAGGGTCCCAGCCACCCTTCAAGGTACTTCTCAAAGGCCACATGCTCCAGGAGTCTCTCAGAGCCTCGCGGAGCCTCGCAATGGAGAAAAGGCTCCTGGCCCCGCTGGGGAGGCGTTTTTCTCGTGTGGGCCCCATGGGAGTGTCCCAGACCCTCACCCTTCTTCCTGGGCACCTGATGCAACACTGCTCTGGCCACAGGGCAAGAAGGGAAGGACATAGACAGCTGGGCCTTGTGCAGAGGGCATGCTCATGTCTCTCTCCCCTCAAAGCTTCTGCCAAGAGCTCCCATGCACCTGACTCAGCCCTGATGCTCAGCTCTGCCTCCCTGCTCTGTCCCACCTGGCCCCCCAGCACCTGCCCCAGGGCCTGGCTGCCTTGAGAGAGAAATGCAGTGTGGGTTTGGCAGGGATGTGGATCCAGTTTCTTGTTGCCTCTTCCAGGCCCACAGGAGTGGTGAGGGCAGCGCTGGGTCCCTAATGCCAGTCCAGCCCCCTCCCAGGTCCCTGCCTGTTCCCAGGTAATTAACCCCTAAACCTCAGAGGCAGAGACTTGACAGCTCAGATCTGAGACGTGCCATGTGGTCCCCACAGCTTGGCAGCAAGCCCTCCCCAGGGAGGGTGAGGGTCCCCACTTGTGGGCACCAGAGACCCTTGGCTGCTGTCTGGGGAGTGCATCAGCACTCTGAGGGTTGTTTCAAGGGAGGCAGGGTGCCGGCCTCATGACCTTGTGAGTGCAGGGCTCCTCCACGCACGCAGCCCTGGCTCAGGAGAGAGGGCGCACCTGCAGGGAGGGGCCCGCACCTCACTGTGCCTTGATCTCATCAGAAAGCAGCAGCATTCACTCACTCATCCATTCATCCACATCTACGTGGGCACCTGCCATGTGCCGGGCCCCACACTAGACTCTGAATCCACAGATGTCCAAGGACGTGAGTCCAGCAGAGACTCACAACATTGTTTCATTAAATGCTACGGAGGAGGGTATGAGAGGCCACAGGGACCCGAGTGGGAGGGAAAGGCCACACTCGATGTCAGAACCTCACACTTATGATCCCAGATGGGAGGGAAAGAGGGCTGATGGATGGAAGCTGTGGTTAAGGCCCGGGTCTACCCCTTGCTGGTTGGCTGCGCTCAATCACTCAATGTCTCTGAGCCTCAGTCTGCTCAGCTCTCAAGCGGGGAGAGTAACAGGACCCACCTCACGGGGCAGTTGTGGAAATCAGATGTGTGTGCACATGTGTACTTGGAGCAGAGCCTGACATCTGACAAGCACCAGGGAAGCACTGGCCCTCCCCTAGTCATGAGGTTGGGAGAAGTGGGAACCAGAGGGGGGAATCTTGAGGCAGCCAGGCCATTAGGAGGCTGCTGCCTGATCCCAGGCAGGCACCGTAGGATGGGTGGGGTGTCGGGGCCAGGGAGACCCACCAGCCCACTGGCTCCATCACACACAAGAGGACTATTATGCATGGGACCAAGTCCCCGCCCTCTGGAGGTGGGCATGGGGCTCCCACACCAGTGGGAGGCTAAACTCATGTACAATCCCAAGTGAGGATGGCTCTCAGGTGGCAGGTGGAAAGGGTGTGGGGAGGAGAGAGGGCTCCAGGTGGGCGGGGGCTCTTCAAGGAAGGATGACAAGTGCTTGAGTCTGGCAGGTTTGGCCCCTAGAGGACCGTGTCAGGAAGGGGATGGGCAAACTCCATACTGGCAGGCTGAGTGAGGAAGGGAGTTAAGACAGGCCAAGCAATCAGACCATGTTATTAAAAGTTTGTAGAGCAAGGTGGTGAGATAGTGGACAAGGGGGTGCTAACAGGGCCTGAGACAGAGTGAAGGGTGAGGGAGCAGCAAGGACCATCTGAGTCTGGCATTTGGAAAGGGGGCTGCAGGTAGGAGGGCGAAATCACAGCCACAGGTCTGGGAGGGTCACCTGGCAGCCAGCCCACACACGGACTGAAAGCTGGAAATTACCTCCAGCCTTGCCTCGCTTCAAAAGGATTATTTGAAGAACCAAATGAAATAACATATGTAAAAGCGCACCATAAAGGGTAATGTGATATATACACGGGTGGGATTATTAGTATTAAAACATGAAAGCCCCTGGTGCGAGGTAGGTGCTCATAAACACTGGCTGAAGGGAACTGAATCCTGAGAACAAGACCACCCTGAGGGAGGGAGCCTGCAGCCAGGCTTGGGAAAGGCCCCGGAGGCCGGCTCTCTCCAGCAGCAGCAGCCCTATCCTGTCCTCCCAGGGAGTGTGGGGGAGAGAGCACTGCCCAAGCTGGGGGACGGAGGGGGCACGGTCTGAGCTTCCAGACACCCACTTGCAAAGTGGCCACTTCCACTGGCCCGTTGTCTTGTCCAACCAGGAAAAACTCCACCGTGACGGTCTTCTTCTCCTGGCGCCGAGATGCCCCTGAGCGGTGGGTGAAGAGGGGGAAAGCGCGGGCCAGGGCACAGGCGGAGGCGAAGGCATCAGACTGCTCACAGACCATCTGCAGCACCAGAGAGCAGAGCTGTGGTGAGGGGAGCGCAGCGGGGGAGGGGATCCCGGGGTGGCCCCATGGGAGCCCCTGTCAGGAAGTGCTTGGGCCCCACAGCTGGGTCAGAGGCCACTGTGGAAACAATCTGGCCAGAGATACCCCAGCAGGGCCTTCATCCCAGGGGCCTTCCCCGGAACCATGGTCCCATGATGGGAGAAAGAAAATGTCAGCCGCCAGATGTGGTCCACTGCCTCCCGAGACCAGACAGCCGGACGTGCAGGGCCACACGGTGGATGTGGGCTCAGGAGGTCTGGGTCGGAGGCTCAGATCTGCCACCCACACTGGGCTGGGGTGCTTATGTCTCTGGGACCTCAGTTTCCCTGTCTGTAAAGCAGGGGTTGCAATCTCCAGCCGTGGAGCAATATCCACCTCTGAAGATACTGTGGCCAGAGTGCTCAGGGGTCCCCAGGGCTGAGCTGTGGGAGACACAGGTCACGGCCAGCACAGCCAGCACACTGTGACCTGCAGCCCGGGTGGGGGTTGTGTGGGGCCAGCCTCTCAGGAGCACTCACCAGAATGCACCGATGGGTCCCCGGCGGCAGGCAGGTCCGCACCAGGCGGGTGATGAAGTGGGCGGCCGAGGGGCTGTTGTGGCGGCTCACCCTGGAGGGCAGGGCGGCCACGGTGGCATAGTTCAGGTAGAGGGGACAGCTGTCCGTGGGGTTGGGGTTGAGCGTGCTTAGCGCAGCCTGCCAGAGCTGGATCAGAAGGGGAGACACAAGACAGACACCAGACTTCAAACGGCTGCCTGCCAGGAGCACTGCGTGCGGACGCGGCCATCACTCGCTAAATGGGCACTTTTGCAGCTTCCCTGGCACCCTGGATCCCTAATTAAGACGTGTCACATCTCACTAGATAAGCGCGTGTGCGTCTGCTGGCACACGTCCACCCTTGTGGGATTAAGCACTGGGGACTTAAACGGCCAGTTTGGGGGCTGCTTTGCCACAAAGGCACTGGGGTGAGACCAGTCAGGGGTCCTGGAAAGGGGTGGGCGTCACCGCCACTAGGGTTCGGAAGGCGGCGTCAGGGCCCCTCGAGGGCACTTCCTTCGCGCCTAGTGGGCTCTGCCAGGTCTGCCCACGAGCCTGCGGCCCGGGTGGGTGCGGGGCACAAGTGGCTGCCGGGCGGGGCTGCTGGACGGGAGCCCACGCCTCGGGTTCTTGGGAGGCGGGCGGCCCCGGGCCTCGCCGGCAGGCCTAGTCCACCAGGCGCACCCGGCCGGCGGGCGGGCGGGCTGGGGGCGCCGGGCGGCCGAGGCGGGGCCTCCGCGGCCTCTCCGCCGGCCCAGCCCCGCCCGGGCTCCGCTGGCCGGCGGGGCGGCGCATGGCGGCCGGCGCGGCCCGCTCACCTCCTCGGTGACCCGGGGCTGCAGCTTCCCGCGGACGTGGCTCCAGGGCACGCGGTGCAGGTGGTGCAGCTGGCCCAGTAGCAGCAGCGGCCGGCTCTGCGGGTCCGCGTCCCCGGCGCTGGCCTGGAACTGCAGCCCCACGTTCGCCATCTTCGCCGACCCGCGCCCCCCGCCCCGGCCGCCGCGCCTGCCGCTCTCGGGCTCCCGCTCCGGCCGGGCCTCGGCGCCGCCCCGGCCCTGCCCGGCCGCCGGCCCCGCCTCCCCCGCCGCTCCGGGCCGCTCGCGAGACGTGCAGGGCCCGCCCGGGGCGCGAGGGGGCGCCGGGCCGGCGGGGCGGAGGGCAGGCCCCGGCCCGGAGCTGGCCCCGAGTTCCGCCAGGCCCCGGACCGCGCGGGGCAGGCCCGGCCCGACCAGGCCCCGTCCCCGGCAGGCCCCAGGCCCGGCTAGGCCTCAGACGCTGTAGGCCGGCCCGCCCCGGCCCTGACCCCCTGGTCCTCCAGCTGCGAGGGAGGAAGCACTGCACTTCCGGGTTGGGGCCCCGGCCTTGGCAGGCTGCCAGTGGACCCTGGTAGCCCTGACCTCCAGTGGGTCCTGAGCAGATGCGGGCCCAACATCAAGTCTGCCCCAGCCCTGTCCACCAGACCAGAGTCTCCGTGAGGCCTGAGCCAGCCCAGCCTCAAGGAGAGGCACGCCCCGCCCCCGGTCTCTGAGCAGCGGTGGTGGTCCAGGGAAACCGCCTCACACCTCTCCCCACCACACGCCGTCAGTTTGGACTGGCTTGGGGATTCTTGGGTTCCACGGTCCCCTCTCCTCACTCAGGGAGTTCTCAGACCCCCACTGTTTGCTGGGCACCGACCTTGATGTGAGGGCATGGGGGACTGGGTTTCCATCCAGGTCGCTGCTTCTGGGATGGCCAGTTATAAAGCCAGGCGTCACCTGTGGGTGGATGCGGGGGGCCTGTCCAGCCCACCGTGGGCTGAAAGCTGTCCCTGCAGCCTCCCACTCACTTAGGGAGAGAGGAGGGTTACCTGATGGCTTACAAGACCCCTGAGCCCACCTCTCACTGAGGATCTAAGGCTAGTGGAGGGCCCCTGGACTGGGCTGTAGGACCTGGATGAAGCTAGCAGGTGTCTGGTGGATGGTGGGTATGCCCAGCTCCTGGCTTAGATACAAGGGTCGGCGGGTGAGGACGCCGTTGAGGAAGCTCCTCCACTAGGAGTCATTTAAAAAAACCTGTTGCCCCATGGTGTCCACATCCTCATTGCTCAAGGGTCCCTCATTGGCACCCCTCTCTGTAACCTCAGCTAGTTCCATGCACCCATCCTCATATTTAGAATTTCCTCTTCATAATCAACTTTAAAGAACAGCAAAGCCAACTCTCTAGTGTGGCAGCCAAGGCCACTGACCTCCCAGCGGGTCCCCGACTCCATGAACTGCCACCCACCCCCAAGCCACACTCTCATCTTCCCTGTCTGCTCCCTCCATGTCTGTCCCTGGGCTTTGAGCCATGGCCCCAAGCACTGCCCTGGACTAGAGCTCCGGCCTTCTGAAGGTAGGCCTTTGTGTCTGCCTTTTTCTCAGGGCCTTGGCACTCAGTTTCTGACCGAGTGTAAGGAATTCCTTCTAAACCCTCAGCTTTCCTGACACAAAAGTCGGTGCTAATTGGATCCTATTTTCCTCAAAAGATTTTACAGCAGCTGAATGTTTTCACACTTTTGTAAAGGGTACGAAGAGCATGTACTAAGATCTATCACTCTTTCTTCTGTTTGCAAATACACTGCAGACAGGCAGTCGGCACTCTGCAGGGGAGTTGATTTCCTAGAAGGTGAGGGACATAAGCCCTGCCCAAATGGGTGAAACAGGACTTGCAGGCTAACAAGACAGACCCAGTGTCCACAGGGCTCTGAAACCAGAGCTCAGAGACTAGGGAACAGGAAGAGCGTGGGGGGTGGGGGGGCGGTGGGGTGGGGAGGGAACTCGGGGAGTCTGATTCAATCCACAGACTTTTGCAAACTGAGGGAGGATCCAAGCCACATTTTAGAAAGCCGGATCTGGCAGTTTTTGTGTACAGGGAGTTGGAGGGGGAGAGAAACTGTTGGTAGAGAGATCACCTTTCCCTTTAGAATTCTTTTATATTTAAGAATACACTGAATAACCCCATGGCCCCAAGAAAGGGTGAACAAGATGATTCAATCCAACCAACATTTATTGAACACTTATGTACACAATGCAAGAGAAAATGGGAGACGCTTGTTAGAAGCAGATATTCCTGATTCTGGTTTTAAGCCACCCCTGAATTGAAGAAATCCAAACTAAACAGACACTGAGGAATGACTCCATTTCACATGCCTGCCAATTTCCTCAAGATGCTGCTTGTGACAGATGTAACTATATTCCAGGAAAGTACTTTCCCCCCTTTTCACTGTGGACTTTGCAGACTTCAACATAAATAAGGCTGGCCCCACTTTGTTTAGATAAGTTTTTATGAAGGTATTAATCCATGGCTTAGTATATACTTCACTGTCAATGAAAAATTCACCTAAATTTAATTTTCTTAAAAAAATGAAAATTTAAAACAACTTACCAGGCTCTTTAATGCAACCCAAGAAGTAACTCATGTTTCTGACGACTTGAAACTCATTCCAAACTCAACTGCGTCTTCAGACTTAATTTAGGAATTGATGAAAAGACTAAAGACTTCTGGAAGAAATCAGAATAAAGTTCCCAGGACATATTAGGAAGATTTTGGTACAGGTCACATTCTAAAACATTTTTTTGTTGTTGTTCTCATTAGTTATGTATTTTTTATAATTTGTGGTTGTTCAGGTGCTAAGTCATGTCCGACTTTCTGCAACTCCTGACTATAGAAACTCCAGGCTTCACTGTCCTTCACTATCTGAGTTTGCTTAAACTCATGTTCATTGAGTCAGTGAAGCCATCCAACCATCTCATCCTCTGTCACCCTCTTCTCTTAACCTTAATCTTTCCTAGCATCACAGTCTTTTCCAATGTACGGCATATATGTCAATCCCAACCTCCCAATCCATCCCAACCCTCCTCTCCACCTTGATATCCATACCTTTGTTCTCTATGTCTGTGTCTCTATTTCCCTTTGCAAATAAGTTCATCTAGACCATAGAACATATTTCTTAAGTCATATCATATCAGATGGCTCTCGGTGTATGACATGTGCATTTCTGTGTTAATTTCATGCCAGAGTATCTATATAAAATAAAAATATATAAGTATCAGTTCTGAAGAGCTTCAGGCCAGATGAGGCTTTGGGGATGGGGTGTGTGTGTGTGTGTGTGTGTGTGTGTGTGTCTTGAAGGCAGATGTGGGCCATTCTGGAACCACCGGGGCTTCCATGGCTGCACATACAGTGTGCCTTGAGAGGTATGCTAAGCCCTGGCCTTTGGACTTGACCTTGTGGCCACTGAAAGCCAGTGAACATGCCTCAGTCAGGATCAACCTGAAGTCAAAGGAGGGCTTGTTCCTGGTTGAGAATGACCTGCTACTTCCTATGCCCAGAGGACATGGAGGAAGGCTTAGCTCCAACCACTCTCCATGGGGCAGGTGGCCTGGAAGTGACCCCCATCCAAGAAGGCGGTGGGAGACCTGTTCATGACCTCCCCAAAGTCTGCCTGTATCCAGTGTGTGCCCTTCATCACCACGCCTGGAGCTCCGGGAGCCTCCCTGTAACATTTAGTAAATACTGCATCTGACTTGCCAGCTGGAAGATTTGCAATCCTCAGAGGATTAAAAATTAACTAATTGCCATAAACATCACATTTCCCTAAACACTTTTTTGAAAAATGCATGAACTTATGGGAAAGTTGAGAAACCAGTACAATAAACTTGTATACCCTTTACCTAGGTTCATATATATGTGTGTGTGTGTATGTGTATTTGTGTATATATAGGTATTTTTCTCTGCATCATTTAAAGTTAGCTGCATATGCTTAACTTTAAATGCCTGTGTGTATCTCTTAGAAGCAGGGGACTCTAGTCCTCCTGATGACAAGAGCCATGGAAATTTAACATTGAGGCCATTCTAAATGTTATCTAATATACAGTCCACACTGAAATTTCTTTAATTGTCCCCAAAATGTCCTTCATGGCCTTTTCTTTAAATCCAGGATCCAAATAAGGATCAGGCGCTCTGCTGGGTTGTCAAGTCTCTTTGGTCTCCTTTAATCCAGAACAATCCCTGCCTTTGTCTTTTCTGACATTGACTCGACTCCCAGAAGGTCCCACCGCCTGGATTCGCCTGATTGCTTCCTTATGATTAGATTCGGGTTAAACGTTTTTGGCAACTATGCCCACTGCGTTTCCCACGGCACCTCATCAGGAGTCACATAACCTAGGCGTCTCGCCTTACTGGCTAAGGCTGTTTACTTGGCTTAAGTGGGGTCAGCCAGATCTCTTCACGGTAAAGGTAAACGTGCCCCTTTGTAACTGATAGAATGGAAATCAGCTTCCTCTTTATAATGCATGGAGTGACAGTCTGAGACTATTAGAATGTTCTGTTTCCCGAAACCTCTCCCCCACGGCTTTCAAATCCAATAATGATCTCTGCCTGAATCAAGGATTGGTTGCAATGTGGTTATTTTCCAGCCATCTCATCCCTTCTACACTTACTGCCTGGTGTTCTTTACTCAAGAACACCATCATTTGTGGGGACCAGGGCAAAAATAAAAAAGCAGAGCCTCTTTTTCAAAAATGAGTTTCAAGATGGTGACAGAGCACTGAATCCAAAACGGGGTCTGTGTGACTAGAGGGACTGCAAACCCAGGACGCCGGCCTTGCCCCCCACCATGAAAAGTGGAAGTGTTAGTTGCTCAGTTGTGTCCCACTCTTTTGCGACCCCATGGAGTCTTTCCCATCAGGCTCCTCTGTCTATGGGATTTCCCAGGCAAGAATACTGGAGCAGGTTGCCATGCCCTTCTCCAGGGGATCTTCCTGACCCAGGGATAGGGATTGAGGCTGGGCCTCCGGCACAGCAGGCAGATTTTCTCCTGTCTGAGCCTCCAGGGAAGCCCAGTGGACGCAGTTAAGTGTATATCTCAGTGTCTCTCCTCAAGCATCTCCATTTAGGCAAGTGATCGCCTATCAGGCAGGCTCCTATGTCTTTTTCACATGTTCCTATC